AGTAAGCCTTCTACCACCAGAATTAGCCAAATTTCACCCGATTCGCCTGGTAGAGTGAATTTGGCGTAGCACAACTCGTTCTCCACCAACTATGTCTTCCATCAGCCAGCTTCCGTAACTGGTGAAGAACGGAATGGCGCAGCGCTAAACCCAGCCCCCCCCCTCCCCTAACACGCCGCAACATCCGCAGCGAACAATTGTGAGTGCGTGCCGCATCCGAAAAAAGGACTGATCGAAGGCGAAAGCTTTATCCTTCAAATGATATCGTATATATAATTAAAATTATGATCTAATCATGACCTTGTTCGTGACTTACTATTAGAAGGGAACTTATTGTATTGATTTCGAGGGAGACTCTTTCACCTCTCTCCCTCCTCCTTAGCATCTTAGAGGGGAGAGGCACTAATTTTAAGGTCTATGGTTAACCCTCTCCGCCCCCACGATCAGCGTGGACTGGGTCTTTAATGAGGGTAGCCTACTCGTTCGCTCCAAGGATTGCCTTCGTAACTCTCAGTTGTAATGGAAGAGCGAGCTTTCTATGCCACTCCCTCAAGAAGAAGCCGATGGTCTTGCGGCTATTTTCTGAGCGTCCAGTGAAATCTAGCCGTCTCTGGTCCGATAATTACGGCTAAGCTGCATCGCATGTTCAGTTAATTCGATTTTCGACGCCTTGCCCTGTGGTCGTGCACGCAGTCTTCGATCGGAGCCGTAATCAAGCCTAAGCTCGGTTCTGTAAGTCTAAGGTTAGGGGTTTAGTCTGAGGAAAGCAAGGCGAATGAAGACGTTTCTCGTACTCTCTCACGCATGGTGGTAGACGAAAAAAAGGACAAATTGATCGATATTGTATACTTTTTTGGGTGCCAAAATTCGGTTTGATATCCGAATTGGAGCATTTGAAGGTGTATCTGACTATACTGTAGCTCGACTATCGGAGGCTTCTGGAGGGTCTCTATGTTTTTAAAATGCGATCCAGGAAAATCGAGCTGGGGCAAGCGTCGGAAGCTATGCGACGACATCTACACTCCGGTCCGTTTTTCCTGTGCCATTAACGAGATGCCCCACATCTGATCTTGGTCTCAGACACCTAAGCTCAGAAAGACTGAATGACCCCGACAGGGTCCACCAAAATGCGACGCTGAGACACCGGTCACTGCCGGCTCTGGGACCATAAACCGTTGTTGGCTAGGCTTTTCAGAAAAGAAAGTTGACTATTTTTTGGATAGCCAAGTTCTCGAGCTGGAGCATCTTCTAGTTCCTCCAGTCAGATGTTGCTACTTCTTTCCTCTTCTTCCTTGCAATAAGCCTTAGTCCTGCGCCAGTCGTCGGGTCGCCATGTAAGAGTCGCTAATGGAAGCAGGGACCGTTCGGCGTTGGTATCCTCTATGGAGGCCGTAGTTGGCTCAAGAAGCGAAAACAGCATATCCTTCAGTGTGGGACTGAGGATTTTCATCAACGTTGAGAAAGGCCGCCTTGCAGAACTCAATATGAGCCCCGTCATTCGCCAGATCGTTACTATCACCTCTAGCCTACCTCAGCTCGACCGGCTGCAAGAACTAGCCTTTTGTAAGCTGATCAGAGTTGCGGATGCCCACACTTCTCGTTCTCCTCCTGCCCGTTCCCGCTTCGATGCTCGCAAATTCGGAAACGATCTGTAAAGGTCAAGCATTTAATCAGATGGGTCACGAAGCCGAGTAGAATATGGAAGAGGGGAAACAACTTCTTCATCAAAATCTCCTCTCTCTGTGCGAAAGAGTAAATGTATACCTAAGGGTAGTGACACGGCTAGCGGTTACAGCCAGCCGTCTAGAAAGGCTGAGAAGGGTGTGGCGCCCTCTCGTAATCCTCCCACCAGTGACGTTGGCAGTACGCCCGCCCTAAGCCATCGTGCCTACTGCCTTCAGTGTGAAAAGAAAACAAAAAAGCCACATGTTTTCAGTTCCACGTAGCGCGAACGCACAACTGCATTTGGCGATTGTTAAGTAATTCTTTCGAAAAATATTTAATAAGACTGGTATGCATTTTTCCCCCTGAGGAGCATATTTTCGTCGTCCCCGTTTACTGGCCCGAACTAGGCTCTGTTCTTTACTTTCCCAGCGACCGACTGCCGAAAATGTCAGAATTGCTGCCCCCGTTATTCGTGAATTTCCATTTTCTCACGAAATCTTATGATTCCGCAAATTATGAATCACTAAGGAAGAAAAAAGGAAGAAATAGAAAAGAAATAAACAACAAACAAAATATAAATGAAAACAAAGTTACCTTTGTAAAAGTAAAGAAAAAGAAGCATTAGAAAGAATACTATCGAATATGTACGATGTCCATGCATCAGTACTTGGTAGATCAAAGATGACCTCTGAAAAGGAAAAGGCCTCTGACTATTCCAAAAATTTCTAAAGAATGAACTAACCACATTTGACGTCATTCTTCTGAATGTCGCAAATCCTTCACCCGGCTATTTTTGGTACGTAAGCACTCACTGGGTCGCCTAGCAACCACCATCGGCGCCTACTCAGAGTCAGCTGGGGGAGCGCTAACCTGACACTAGGGAAAAGGGCGCACTTGGCTTGAGGGAGGGGGGGGGAGCATTTTGCTCTTTCGCTACTTCCCATCGTTGTGTCGAGCGGGAACCTGAGAAATCTTGTGAAGCCAGGATGGAATATCACTCAAAGTTTGTAGAGACCATTGGTCAACTCCTGTAAAGAATACCTGTAAACCCTTGCAAAGAAATGATACGAGGATGGGAAGTAGCGAAAGTGCAAAATTCCTCCCCCCCCCAACCGAACTGTGCCGTCTTTCTTGAGCAACGTTCGAGACAGGGTACAGCTTTGCTGGGAGAATCCCATCGAGGGTTGTATTCTGTCGATGGGGGGAAGGGTCGTATCTGGCCTTGCGAGGAATTTTGCCGCAAGCCGGAGAATGAATTCGATGATGCACTGACTCGCTCAATAAAACCAGCTTCAGAGCAGAACAGATGAAGGTTGCGGAAACTTAGAAGGTAGCCTGTTGTGAGAGATTGCTGAGATGGTATAGTTGAGCTCGGGGAGTTGCGACTGAAGAGGAATTCTAGGCGATTAGCGGTCGTACGGTTAGTCGTACGCATCGTCGCCTTCGCCTATCCCAATCCGTCAGCCTGCGCTCATCTATCGCAACACATCGCCTGAAGGTAACCAGAATTGTACTCCTTTGAAGGACTTTGACAGCCACTGAGATGGCCATATCCCTATATAAAAATTATACTTTATTGCCGGGGGCGAGGGGAAGGGTGAGCTTTGCGTGGTGCCTGCCCATTTTCCACCAGTTGTTGGTCGCTTTGCCCTTGGCTCTAACATTTTTTTGGGCGAACTGATTAGCGCCGCCCCAAACGGTGAGTTTTTCTTCACAAGCCCTCCCCCTTGTTGGAGAGAGAGGGCGGGAGGTGCGTGCTGGAAAACTCAGCGGTGCAGGGGACGCGGGTTCCGTGCCGGGGTCGTATTGAGTCGAGCAATGTCGCTACGATAATGCAGTGAAGTACTGGACAAGAACGATTCAGAAGCAACTGCTGACTTTTAGAGCGCCTCAGAAGAGGCGCCTTCCTCGACGAGATTCACAGAGCACTCTTCCGGCGAGAGGGCGTCATATCGCTATGGGCTCGGGACACCAATAATATCAGACTCACGAGCCTCCACAGTGTTATTCGCAGTGTGTCTTTAGGTACTTCTCACAGAGTCACGGTACTTGTTACGGGCTCTTGCGTTACGGCTCTTTTACACCTAAGTCACCGCCCGGACATCGCGACGACCGCGATCGTTGGTAACGCGCTGTGACGCGCGTCTTCGCGAAGTCTGGACTCTGCCTAACGACTAAACCTAGCGACTGACTGTCGCATAAATATTCTTTCAATGAATATAACACGAAAAAATATACGAAGGAAATTTATTAAACATTTGTAAACATATATGCGGCATCCCAACTCAACTCAACATAGGACTCGCACTTCGGCGACGACTACCAAACAAAATAAGCGACTAATAGATTTACTTTTATATGATATTGAATGTAGGACAATCTGATACATAACGGCGGGAAAGTCAGCTATCGAAGTACTGCATCGGATACTTATCAGCAGGTGAGTACTTGTATTGCGGTTGACCGGGTGGAACGGCCGCGTTACCAGTTGCACCTCTCCAACCATGGAATGAGCTGTTTTGGTTGAGTCCTTGCGACGGCGACGCCATCGAACTTCCGTTCACCCCACCCCAACCTAAGTTATATCCAGGAGGTGCACGCACCTAAAAAATTAATTTTTATTCACATTATAACTAAAAGCATTAAAACGAAATTTCACACACCGCACACTCATTCAAAGGCGGTCATCGCCATGAGTGGGAAACAGCGTCAGCGGCTACAGCAGGGCCACTTCTGCTGGTCAAGTCCGCGAACACTTCTTCCCTTGCCTCAAAAGTGCCCGGCGTGCAGGCGAGTATTGGTAGTGGTACCCGAAGAAGTATCCACTCCGCCCACGCTTTCCTGGAGGTGCAGCATTTGCGTCAATGCCCAGGTCCCACAGCGAAAGACGCGTTCAGCGGCAGAGAACAACCAGGAGTGAGAGAGAGCAGACAAGCAGCGCGTTCGGCTATGACTAGGGTAGGAATATCCGGAAGCCGTCCGCATACTGCGCCCGCACTGCTCAAGGCCAGCCACACGTCACCATAGCCAAACGCGCTACTTGTCTGCGCCCTCTCACTTCTGGTTGTTCTCTACCGCTGAGTGCGTGTTTCGCTGCGGGACCTTGGTACTGATGCAAGTGCTGCCCATTGAGGATAGTGCAGGAGGAGTATGGAGACCTCACCCGGGTACCACTACCCTCCAACCCCGTTTTCGTGCAATTTTAGTGGAGAAAGTGGCACGCTGTGGACCCATTCGCCCCAAACAAGGGCCGTCCTCGGAAGTGAGTGTTCAGTTTGCCTTCAAGGAAAAGCACATACCTGAGAGGAGTCCGACGGAGTTCCATTTCGCCACAGTTCGTGGTGAGAAGACTGTTGAAGCAAAGGATGAGCCTGTTCCGACGATGGTCTTAAAGGACGTATGTCGGCAAGATTACCTAAAGGTGTTGACCACGACCATGGTGAAGCTGCAGGAGCAGCGGATGCAACTGCAGAATCATCCAATGGAAGTGTTGCTGGTGTAGGTACTGGCCCCGGCCGAACACCTATCGGTAGGGGCTGTTTCATCGGAGAACGCTCGAATAGTTGAGCTGTAGGAGGTGGCGCACTAGACAGGCCACCTGACACTGATCTAGATGTTGACGACGGTGACTGTGAAACATGCGAATTTGACGAACTTGTAGGAGCGTTGTCTCGTGGTGAAACTGAAACGGGAAATATTTCAAATATAATCTGAAAAATAACACCCCCATAATTAATACCATGAGAATTGTAGCGATTATTCTGTGGGGTTCGTGGTTGGCCAATAACCCCGGCAGGAGGTGGTTGAATCACAGACGATACAGATGACACAGATGTTGCTGTTGAAGGGCAGGCAGGCGTCGATGGTTGTACTACTTGAACTGGAGGCAAACGGACTACCTTCGGAAGGGTAGGCGCCGAAGGAACCTGAAATTAAGTTCTCTAAGGATGTGCAAAAATAATCTAATTTAGTGGGCCAAAATTTTTCGTCTCGGTGGCTCATTTCAAACAATTCTACAAATTGATTCTAGCGCGTATGGTCAGAGTGCGTTCATATTTTGCGTCAGCGTTCTGAGCGTTTTTAGCGCTTTAAGCGACCAAGAAAGCATAGATGCCGATCAAGCATTTAGCGTCCACTGGTGTTCCGGGCCACTAAGAAAGAATAGGTATCGATCCGTTTAGCGTTTAGGCGTCCACCGGTATTTGAGAATCCTCCAGTGTTTTTGGCGACTAAGAGGGATTAGATATCGATTATTGCTCAAAACGCTGGCTGCATGCTCAAAACGCCGGATCGATACCTATAATTTACTAAACGCTCAAAACGGCGACAGATCGGGTCCGGCAGGTGGTCGCTGACACGCTCAAAAATGCTGCAACAAAGTATGAACGCGGCTTAAGGAGATCCGCGTTGCGTTATCGCGCGCAAAATAACATTCCTAGCTAGTTGACTCGAGATAGACTCTGGCGTGAAATCAATTAGCTCAAGGCAGCCTACGTCCTACCATTTATTTCACGTTCTTATCAGCACCCCCACCCCGCACCCTCCGACAACAATGAGATCCCGACAATCGATTGATTACGTCGCTTCCGTGCAAGGGCATTCTCAATGTATCACAGGACACCACAATCACCTTTGCTTTTGCCAGTTTTTCGCTTACTTAGGATGACTCTAATCATCACGTGATCTCGAAACTTGAAATATGACTACAATGCATTTCGTCAACTGAGAATTTTTAGAAAACTATGATCATGGGGCAAAAGGTACAGGAAGTAACTGCCATGACCCAATCGATTTAACGTCAAGGTGCTGTTTCGAGTCAACTAGCTAGGAATACTAAATGGTTTGCGGCGGCGATGGCCAGCTCGTCAGTATTGGCTAACTAGGAGTCATGATGCTCTGCGAACGATAGCGTGTTCATCGGGGCATGGCTGTTGGGGAGGCGCGAGCCAACGGCAGTTCCCAGCCAGAAAAAAAAATGTAGCGGTACGGGATGGATGGAGAAACGGCGCCCTGGCTGCGATCCGGTACTCGCCGCGTCACACGCCCCATCGTTTGCAGGGATCATGACTGTACATCCGCTGCTGGCTAATAAATTTTAACATCATCCACCAGGCACAAGGGGAGAAATCACGACTACTAGTTCCTTCCTTTTTGCTACACCGTATGATAGCCTTTCAAAAAGCACTAAAGTCAAAGGTATCTCACTACAAACCTTTAAATCTGTAAATTGAGCAAGAGTTCTTTGTCCTTTTCGAATTGCATCACATGCAGCTTCAAACTCGTTTCGCGCTTGTGAAATAGCCGACACACAATCTTCATGCACACATTTCCATTCGGCAACACTTCGCCTCATCGTCTCCATGTCGGAATGAGTTCGTGCGCTGAAAAGGGCACGGTACTTGTAAGAACAACGCAAACATACAGAACTTTGTTCGGCTCCAATAAGCTGCTTACCGCTTCAAGTTGTCTTCCGCTTCCGCAAGGTTGAATGCCGCTTCATCTCGGGTCTTTTCCAGGACACTCACACCAGCGGTCAGCATCATACCCACTTGGGCCACTTCAGCCGAACGAGCGCGATCAATAAGGGAAGCGATTTGGGAAAGATGCTGTTTCCTTTCCTAAATAAGGTTAACGTTTCAAGAAGGGCAGAATAAAAAGGTGAAAAAAAGAAGTAAGAGGTAAATACGGGGGTCATGCGACCAGGGTTGTCTGAAACACATGAAGGGTCGTACATAGCTGCTGGGTAGGGGGGTCGTTGCTATTTGGTCGTTGCTGGGGGTCGTATGTGCCTTTGAGAGAAATTTGCCGTTGATTGGGAAAAAGTTTTTCTCGTTTGTTGACTTTTCGCTGTTTTTCCCGTTTCACATTGGCTATATATCCCCCTCAATTTGCCGCATTGGTTGGAAAAAGTTTTCTCGTTGTTGAATTTTCGCTGTTTTTCCCGTTTCACATTGGCATATACCCCCTCCTACTTGAGAGCAAATTTTTGGGAAGAAGTAGGAAAATTTTCGGGAAATTCCGGAAAAAGTGGTGGGAAGCTGGGAACTTATAGGAAAGTGCTAGTTAGGTTTTGGGAAAGGGGGGGGGGGGTCGTAGCAAAACTCTCCCTCGTGGGGGGGGGGGGGTCGTACTGAAACCATTTCACACATCACGATGCTGTACCCTGCATGCGACGGGGCGACCATGACAAGTCATGTTTGCTTGTCCGCTTCCTTCACCGGAGAGGAGATTGGTGTATATACCTAGTCCTACATGATGTGACATAGATAAGCCCCCCGCCCGCCCCGTTAAACCACATTTCTCTTAAAGAAACCATCCGTTGGTCAGCAATGTTCGAGAAATGTAATTTTTCACGCATATACATATGCACCCTTCCTCTCAAAGATCATACCTACTTCTGCATGAGCAAAAAAGTTAATTAAATCGATACATATGTTCAAAAGTACACTCCATATTCTAAAGATGCAATGGGCGTGGCTGCGTACTCCATTTGAAAAAGCGCTGGATGGGCTCATTAACAAGGAATAGCAAAAGTGCGACTTCCTCCACTCCCCCCCCCTCTGCGCCACTGAACTGCGCTGAACATCTCTATCTGTTTCCGACTTGAAGCTGACCTTCTCCCATTTCTGTTCACGATTCTTCACTTCTCTCCTGTATTCTTCATGTTGCTGTCGTTCTCTGTCTCGCTCTCCTTCACGTTCAAGGGCTTCGCTCTCTAGTCTGCGCACTTGTTCTGCATCTCGTTCCTGAACATGAGGAAACAATTAAGAAAATGAGTAGTAAGGAAACATTAATACATAAGTTCAACTTGGTGAGAACTGTACCTTCTCTTTCTTCGCTTTGAGCGATCATCTGCGGCCTTCTTCTTCACTTGATCTAGCTCCTTCTTGAGTGATTTAACCCTATCTTCAAGCTCAAGCTTTTCAGCTTCAAGTGTACCTATGCGGGTCCTGAAAAGGGGAAAAATGTTACTTCCTCATCAAGTATACAGTCTTGTTCGCTGCGAACGAAGGGGCGTGTCAGCGAGGCTGAGGTTGGTGTGCCGCCAGCGTGGTTGAAGCGAGTAAGCGATAACAGCTAGTGGCAACGACTACTGTGAACGACGTGATACAGTTGTCGCTTGTCAGAAAGAAAAAAATGAAAGTACTAATTGGCGTCGCGCCAAATACATCCCCCTTAGTACGCCCCATTATCCGCAGCGTACGAAGAGTATATGCCCATCTGATAATGGGCAGCAAATAAGTAACTTACTCGTCCTGTTTTGATTTCTTCTCCATCTTCTTCAGATTGCTTCGGGCTTCTTTCAGTTGAGCGGTTAGCTGTTCCGTTTTAGCAGTTTCTTCCTTGAGCTTTGACGACTCAGCCATACGAAGTTGTTCAGCCTTCAAATGAAAACGTTACTAAACCGCCCTGCTTCCTATTTGAGATTACATGGAATTCCCAATAAAAATTAAAAAAAGGACTACGAAGAAATCATTCAAGATACCTTCTTTCTGTGCTCCACTTCTTTGAGAAGATCAGTTCTGGCTTGCTTACAGGCAGCTTCGGTTTCAGCCAATTTCTCCTCATTACGTTTCATCTGCTCAGCAGCACTAAAAAGAAACCTACATGCAAGCGGTCAACGGTAGCGGTAAGTCTTCACACATACTACAATTAGGTCATTTTGGCCTACACAAACGCACACTTGCTCAACAATGGCAGTTTACTCAGGTGTCGGATCCAAGCTAGACAACACAGATAAACGCACATTTCGCCAAGCGGAGAACTTCGAGTTTGTGATGAAGATAACAACGACAAGATTACGATCAATTTATCAACGTTAGTGAATTCCACTTCAGCCAGCCAACAAGCTGGCAGCCAACTAACTTGACACTTCCACCAAGAAAAGATGTGCGCGTCCCCGTTTTGACACGAATTCTCCCGCTAGCAAAAGCTATAGCTTTAGGAGTCGCGTCATCGCATACGGACTAGTTAAAGGAGGACATCTTCTCTTAAACCCCTTCTAAGGGCACGTGCGAAACGGAAACTAGATGTCTCTTTCAATCTACCCCTCCCTTCACCTCTCCGTTGAAAATTTTACAGAGTTTCTATTTTACTCGCGAATCGCTAGTAAAGAAACGCTCCGCGTTTATCTGATCTTTTCTCTAAAAATGGTCGTCCTGTGCGCAAACAAGTTGTATGTTCTAGTTTAGCAGATCAAATTTACGTGATGAAAGCGCGACCTGCTCGCGACGAAGCTACCGCCCCACAACGCATTACTTTCATTTCTATAGGCTTACTGGTAGTACGCTTGTTTCTCTACCAACTCTCTCTCTATTTCGAATGGTGATAGTGAGGTAACAAGGACAAAGGGCTAACACCAAAACACGTCCGGTCATGCCCTTTTTTCGCCATTATGCACATACAAGTGCGAATTGCCCCGGCATCCTACATGGGGCATTCGTGACGGGTTTCTCTGCTTTTTTTTCTCGATTTTTGTGCTTTTACGATTTTCTCGTTATTACTTGAGTTGGACGAATCACCATCTTTACGGGAGGCGTGCGTGCCTTTGTAAATCCTTGGAACTGCCCACAAATCATGATAACCTGCACAGCATAGAGCTAGAGGGTTCCACACCACGAAGGCCTTTCATGATGCGTCTTGGGTCTTGGCGCGAATGTCATGCACGTGACATCACTTGTCAAGCCTCTTTCTTTCTGTCTTGGCCACAACTGGAAAGCGCTGGACTAAGACAGAAAGAGGCTTAACAAGTGCTGCC